ATCGGTAAGGTGCTCTGACATCTGATGCTTAAAGTTAGTGAGGGAGATAAGAGTCTCCAGCTTCAGAGATTTTTGCAATTCGTTCCAGTCATTGTGGTCCTCTGTAGCTTAGCTGGTAGAGCACGGCGCTTGTAACGCCAAGGTAGAGGTTTCGATCCCCGGGACCACCCATACACAAAAAACAAACAAAAAAATGTATGCACGCATGACTGTAAGTCGCTTTGGATAAAAGCGTCTGCTAAATGGCATATTAATATTAATATTAATTGGCAGCAGAGAACTGGAAGGAATGGCGGCCAAAGGAGGTGTTGGCTTTGGGGATGACCAGTGAGATATACATGCTGGAGCGCAGACTACGGGTGGGTGCAAATTGAGATGGTTTGGGATGAGTTGGACTGCAGAGTAAAGGAAAAGCAGCCAACAAATGCTCAGCATATGTGGGAACTCCTTCAATACTGTTGGAAAAGCATTCCAGGTGAACCTGGTTGAGAGAATGCCAAGAGTGTGCAAAGCTGTCATCAAGGAAAAGGGTGTCTATTTGAAGAATCTCAAATATAAAATATATTTTGATTTGTTTAACACTTTTTTGGTTACTACATGATTCCATATGTGTTGTTTCATAGTTTGATGTCTTCACTATTATTCTATGATCCTCGCATGACTTTATTAGAGCTATGCTATGGAGGTGTGTTTTCCTGTTCTCTATCTGGATCTTTCTATCTCTCTGATGTTTTCTGATGCATGTTATCTCTGTGACAGTGTATGTGTGTCTCTTCTCTGTAACAGTCAGTCTGACAGGGTCGTAGTGACATGGGGATGATGACATCCAGCTCCGACAGAAGCTTTCGATGGTGGTGAATGTGTCATTCTGTCTCCTCCGCCCACATCCTTCCATCCCTCACCCGGTTCACTGCAGCAATGTTGTCTTACTCTTACTCTTACCCTGCCACTCTCCCTCGCTCATCTTTTCTGTCCCTCTCTGTCTTTTCCTGCCTTCCTGTCTCCCAAACCCTTTCTTATTTTCCTTTCTCTGTCATATCTCTCTCTCTCTGTCTCCCTCTGTATCTCTCTCTCTCTCCCTCTCTCTCTCTCTCTCTCTCTCTCTCTCTTCTCTCTCTCTCTCTCTCTCTCTCTCTCTCTCTCTCTCTCTCTCTCTCTCCATATCTCCCTCTGTCTCCCTCTCTCCGCCTCTCTCTCTGTCATCCTCTCCTTTTGTCCCCAATTCCCCTCCTCCCTCTCTGTTGTTGCTCCCGCCTCCTACTCATTCCACCCTTCTTTCTGTTTTTATCACTTCTTTATTCTTTTCTCCCACACACTGATTCATCAGCTTCATCTTTCTCCCCTCTCATCCCTTTTTTTGCTCTCATCCCCCTTTCCCATTAATTCCCCTTTCCTTCCTTCCCTCCCATCTCACGTTCCTTCTCTCACCCATGCTCTGGTGTATGTATTACAGGGTGTGAGAGTGCCTATTAACCAAGACATCTTGTGACGACAGCCTCAGTTGACTATCTAGTAGAGTGGTTTTTTCTTAATGTGTTGATAGCAGAAGCATCTCTTCTTGTCCATGGGGATGAGAGGACAAATGAACTCTAATGCATTTCACACTGACTGTCTCATGGCATTAGCGTTATAATTAGTGCAAGGGTGTGTGTGTGTGTGTGCTTTTCTGAGTCACTGAATTTGTGCCGGCCAGTGTCTGCCTGTTTTTAATAATGGGTTGTTTTTTTACTCTCTAAGAATATGTGGCTATGTCACTCTCTGTCTGTCAGTGTTTTGACTTAGTGAGCCATTCAAAAGGCCAGTGATTATGTAAATTAGCAGTAACAATGCTTAACATTTCACAGTGATTTATTGGTGTGAGTGAAGGGTGAACCGACGGCATGCAAAGTGTACATTTAGGTACAGTATGTAAATCTGTGTCACCCTGGCCTGAAGTCGCACAGTTGCTTTAGTCAAATGGAATTTAGAATGTAGTATCTTATCTCCACTGGTTGTGAGTGTATGGTGTAATGCTGTGTAAATCTATTGGTGTGTGTGTAATAGTGTGTAATATGGGTGTGTGTGTGTGATCCATATACCTGCTCAGTGTTGTGATGTCAGAGTAGTGGTTCTGCTTCTTAGAGAGCCCTCCTCACTGATAAGTGGCCAATGAGAGGCAGCTGTTGTGGTCGCCAGGGGACACCACAGATTAGGCTAATTCAGATTATGCAAACGAGCGTCTCATATGGAAGGCTACAGAGAAAATTTTAGAAAGGCAGAGTCTGGATATATTACATACTCAACAATAACATCCTGATATGACTCCAGATAGAGTCTGGATATATTATATACTCAATAATAGCATCCTGATATGACGCCAGATAGAGTCTGGATATATTATATACTCAATAATGACATCCTGATATGACTCCAGGAGTGTTTGCTTTCTCATGGTCAGTGAGGTTTTGGAAACAACACCATTAGGCCACTCTGAGAGAATACAAGATGTTAACATGAAAGGGGAAAGTGGAACGTCACAATGACCACCCGGGATCTAATCTGGCAAGACTGTCTGCCCCTCCCTCTCTTGGTGGATTTTGATTACTACAAGTAGATTTGATTATATTCATAGAGTGGGATGTATTTTAATGATAATAATAATAACTAGTGGGCCTCACTGGTTGGTCTACATGGGGGACAATGACTTGTGTCGGTGGTTGGGTATTGTTGAATGGATGCAACGTCAGTTTAGCAAAGTTACTTTCAGGCAAGTTAAGCACAGCTCTAATGTATTGTACAGTGAAAAATGCCCTCATTCATCAACACACACACACACACACACACACACACACACACACACACACACGGCTGGCAGGTTGAAGGTGAGTGTACCATTGTTCTGGTAGGATAAGTGGTTTAGGTGGGGTCCATCCTGAGACTGAAGGACATTATGTTACTAAACAGAGAGAAAGAGAATGGGAACGAGAGAATGAGGGAGAGAAAGAGAGGCCAGAGGCAGAGAGACTGGGGACAGGGGGAGAGAGACTGGGGACAGGGGGAGAGAGACTGGGGACAGGGGGAGATAAACTGGGGACAGGGGGAGAGAGACTGGGGATAGGGGGAGAGAGACTGGGGACAGGGGGAGAAAGACTGGGGACATGGGGAGAGAAACTGGGGACAGGGGGAGAGAAACTGGGGACAGGGGGAGAGAGACTGGGGACAGGGGGAGAGAGACTGGGGACAGGGGGAGAGAGACTGGGGACAGGGGGAGATAAACTGGGGACAGGGGGAGAGAAAGAGAGGCCCGAGGGAGAGAGATAGAAGAGGAAGAGGATACAGAGGTAGGGACAGAGGGGAATGAGAGAGACAGAGAGCAGGACAGGTCCTATAGAACGTTTAGTAGAGTACAGCTAGAGGAGAACAGGGGGTGTAGAAAGAGAAAAAAGCACCTGAGAGATAGAAGGATAATGAGGAGGGAGAAGATGAGGGGAGCAGTCTCCATACCATAGCTATTATAGTACTGATCTGTGGGGCGGTTAAACTACTGCACCTTCCGGGGGTTATCCACGTTTGTGCCCTCGTTTGGGTGTAGGGTCTGATCAGAGCCTGAAGGTAAGGAGGTGCCGTTCCCCTTACAGCTCCATAGGCAAGCACCATGGTCTTGTAGTAGATGCGAGCCTCAACTGGAAGCCAGTGGAGTGTGTGGAGGAGCGGGGTGACATGAGAGAACTTGAACACCAGATGGGCTGCAGCGTTCTGGATAAGTTGTAGGGGTTTAATGGCACAGGCAGGGAGCCCAGCCAACAGCGAGTTGCAGTAATCCAGACGGGAGATGACAAGTGCCTGGATTAGGACCTGTGCCGCTTTCTGTGTAAGGTAGGGTCGTACTCTGCGAATATTGTAGAGCATGAACCTGCAGGATCGGGTCACCGCTTTGATGTTAGCAGAGAACGACAGGGTGTTGTCCAAGGTCACGCCAAGATTCTTTGCACTCTGGGAGGAAGACACAATGGAGTTGTCAACCGTGATGGCGAGATCATGGAGCGGGCAAGATCATGGAGCGGGCAGTCCTTCCCTGGGAGGAAGAGCAGCGCCGTCTTGCCGAGGTTCAGCTTGAGGTGGTGATCCGACATCCACACTGATATGTCTGCCAGACATGCAGAGATGCGATTCGCCACCTGGTTATCAGAAGGGGGAAAGGAGAAAATTAATTATCCATGTTGAGGGTGAGTAGTTACCACTGGGGGTTATCCACATTGAGGGTGAGTAGTTACCACTGGGGGTTATCCACGTTGAGGGTGAGTCGTTACCACTGACAGGATATACAACCCAAATAGTGTCCCGACATGTTACCCCTGCTGAGCTAAAAGGGTCTCTCTGATTCCTGCATAGTTAAAAAAACATAAATGTGTGATATGTAAATCTTTTCCAAATGAATGAAGATAGCCATGAGTATTGGTTTCTATGGTTTCTATGATTGCTGTACAATATTATGGGGTGTTCTGAGCTCAGACTGTGTGCCTGGAGTGTGAAGGGGATACTGTGTCAGTGGGGACAGAGCTAGTAGCTGAACATGCATTTGTGCATGCCTACGAGAGAGATTGGGAGAGAGAGAGAGAATTAGGAAGATAGAGAGAGCGGAGTCTATACTACTTTTACCTGTGTGTTAGGCTGGTTTTGTGTGACTGTACACTCTTAGAAAAAGGGTTCCAAAGGGGTTATACAGCTGTCTCCATAGGATAACCCTTTTCGGTTCCAGGTAACCCAAAAGGAACCAAAATGGGTTTTTCAAAGGGTTCTCCTATAGGGACAGCTAAAGAACCCTTTTAGATTCTAGATAGCACCTTTTTTTCTAAGCGGGGACAGTATCATTAAACATTGACTGTAACAAAGCACGTGTAACGTCATGTATCACTTGTCCCAGGTGAGTTATGTCCGAATTACCTCACCTTGGGCTAGAGTCAGCACTCCACCTCTCACTAATGTGGCAATGACAGAGACAGCTCTGCCACCATGATGAAATGGAATGGCCCAGAGGTGTGTGTGTCCTCTGGTCTCCTCCCTTCTGGCAGTAGCAGTAATGAGTTGTTAACGATCAGGTCACTGAAGTGGAGGAACACGGGGATTTCTACACTGACCTCTCTCTCTCTCTCTCTCTCTCTCTCTCTCTCTCTCTCTCTCTCTCTCTCTCTCTCTCTCTCTCTCTCTCTCTCTCTCTCTCTCTCTCTCTGAGATCCATCTCATCTCTGTGCTATTGTACCCTCCCTTCTCTCTCTCCCTACCTACAGTATTACTAGTTTATATATCTGATGAAAATGCAACATTTTGTGTAAATTCCCTCTGACGATATTGATGCTCTCTCTCTCTCTAGATAAAATAGATGATGATTTTGACATGAGCATTGTGTGTCATCGGCCAGAAGGGCTGGATAAACTGGAGGCTCAGACCAACTTCAGCAAGCGAGAGCTGCAAGTGCTCTACCGCGGCTTCAAAAACGTATGTAGTCAATCTATACTTATCACTCCATCTCTCCATTATTTCATCACTTAGTGTCCATCACTCTCTCTGTGGCTGATCTCTCTCTTTTCTCTCTATTTTCTCTGTCTTTCTCTCTTTCCATCTCTCTCCATCGTAGGAGTGCCCTAGTGGGGTGGTGAATGAGGACACCTTCAAACAAATATACGCACAGTTCTTTCCCCATGGAGGTAAGAAATTAGTTTGTGTCTGTGTGTACATACCCTTTAAAGGTGTTGAGTTGTGTAGTGGATTTGTCTTATGAGCACATAAAGAGTAATACATACACTACATGACCTAAAGTATGTGGACATCTGCTCGTCGAACATCTCACTCCAAAATGATGGGCATTAATATAGAGTTGATCCACCCTTTGCTGCTATAACAGCCTCCACTCTTCTGGGAAGGCTTTCCACTAGATGTTGGAACATTGCTGCGGGGACTTGCTTCCATTCAGCCACAAGAGCATTAGTGAGGTCGGACACTGATGTTGGGCGATTAGGCCTGGCTCGCAGTCGGCGTTCCAATTCATCCCAAAGGTGTTTGATGAGGTTGAGGTCACCGATCTCGACAAACTATTTCTGTATGGACCTCGCTTTGTGCATGGGGGCATTGTCATGCTGAAACAGGAAAGGGCCTTCCCCAAACTGTTGCCACAAAGTTGGAAGCACAGAATCGTCTAGAATGTCATTGTATGCTGTAGCGTTAAGATTTCCCTTCACTGGAACTAAGGAGCCTAGCCCAAACTATGAAAAACAGCCCCAGACCATTATTCCTCTTCCACCTAACTTTACAGTTGGCACTATGCATTGGGGCAGGTAGCGTTCTCCTGGCATCTGCCAAACCCAGACTAATCCTTCGAACTGCCAGATGGTGAAGCGTGATTCATCACTCCAGAGAACGTGTTTCCACTGCTCCAGAGTCCAATGGTGGCTAGCTTTACACCACTCCAGCCGATGCTTGGCATTGCGCATAGTGATCTTAGGCTTGTGTGCGGCTTCTCTGCCATGGAAACCCATTTCATGACGCTCCCGATGAACAGTTCTTGTGCTGACGTTGCTTCCAGAGGCAGTTAGGAACTCGATAGTGAGTGTTGCAACCAAGGACAGACAATTTTTAAGCGTTACGCGCTTCAGCACTCGGCGGTCCCGTTCTGTGAGCTTGTGTGGCCTACCACTTTGCGGCTGAGCTGTTGTTGCTCCTAGACGTTTCCACTTCACAATAACAGCACTTACAGTTGACCGGGGCAGCTCTAGCAGGTCAGAAATCTGACGAACTAACTTGTTGGAAAGGTAGCATCCTATGACAGTGCCACGTTGAAAGTCACTGAGCTCTTCAGTAAGGCCATTCTACTGCCAATGTTTGTCTATGGAGATTGCATGGCTGTGTGCTCGATTTTATGCACCTGTCAGCAACGGGTGTGGCTGAAATAGCAGAATCCACTAATTTGAAGGGGAGTCCACATACTTTTGTATATATAGTGTATCTCTTCTCTCCAATGCTCTGCAGATGCCAGTACCTACGCGCACTACCTTTTCAACGCCTTTGACTCAGCACACAGTGGATCCATCACGTTTGAGGTTAACATTCCTCTACCCCCTCTCTTTCTCTCTTTCTCACAATCATCAGATGACTAACCCTTTGTGTATTCTGGATCATTCTTCTTCTTGTTCTTCTTCTTGTCTCATTCTGTAATTCTCTCCCTCCTCCAGGACTTTGTCATGGCTTTGTCCACCCTACTGAGGGGTTCCGTGAGGGAGAAGCTGACGTGGACTTTCAACCTGTACGACATCAACAGAGATGGCTACATCAACAAGGAGGTGTGTGTATACTTAAAGATTGTGTGCGATTATTTCACCATTTAACAATGACAGGCAAATATTATTGTATATATTTTGCTTCATATACTGTGGTTTTGTGTATTTTGTGTGTGTGTGTTACAGGAGATGACAGACATCGTCAGAGCGATATATGACATGATGGGCAAGTACACATACCCTGCCCTGAAGACAGACACTCCCAAACAACATGTGGATGCCTTCTTCCAGAAGATGGACAAGAACAGAGATGGAGTAGTCACTCTGGATGAGTTCCTTCTGTCCTGCCAGGAGGTAAACTTTCTCTAGAGTTATATGATCATCATTAAACATTCCTCCCACTTATTATGGTCTTCTATTGTAGTTGGAGGGTTTAATATGGTGGATGGATCAAATTAAATGATCAACTGACCAACTTCACAGCCATGCATCAATTCAACCACTTTCGGTTTGCTTCCAACCATCTATCCATCTCTATGTCAACAACAAACATCTGACCAATCAGATTAGAGCAAGGTAGCTGCTAGGAAGATAATCAATTATCATTACAGTTCCAAACACTGTTGTGTAATTTCATAGTTTAGAAGTACACAACAGTGATTTAGAAAATAATATTATATCTCATAAAATAATCCTATTTGCCCCTTCTGTAGGTCTTTACTTTTTAACTTCTTCATCCTGTCCACCAAAGATTTAGAATGAAGATGTCACATGGAAGTCTGGAAAACGTCATGGAAACAGTTTGGGTTTAGAATGCTCAACACTTTCGGCTTGTCATAAAATCGACCAAAATTTACTCCAGTCACTGTGTGGGGGAGAAATCCGCAATATTCGGTAAAATCCTATGACTCTCCCATAGGCACCAATGTGATAGCAGCTGGTTTTGGTTGACTAAATTCCCTTCCTCCCTCTTGCCCCGCCAACCTCGCTCCAACCAAAAAAAACGAGCCTATGAGGTGTCTTGCTTTCTATATGGTCTCTGCTGTTCACATTGCTGTCCCTTGCTATCTTCTCCTCTGTCTTTGTTTCCCTCTAGTGGTGGTTATATGAACTAGATGGTACATTAGTACAGATTACTCCACTGAGCACTGTAAATGCAAGTTCAGAGGTATTATATTTCCTACCTGATATTAAATCAGCTCACCTTTTTTCCATACTTTATTTTCCCAGGATGAAAACATAATGAGGTCCCTTCAGCTCTTCGAAAATGTCATATAGACCACACAGAGAAAAGGAAAGAAACGAGACAGAGAAAGAAAGACCGGGAGGGATTGGAAGAGATGCTTGAACTGTGAGAAGGAAGAGCAGCCTGCCATTTAATGGCAAAAAGAGACACAAATAAACGTTGTTGTCACCATGGTTACGAGAGGTACTCAACACCGGCTGCCCAGCAACAGCTATACACACCAGTCGTGTGGCACAGTGTCTCACCATCACGTTACCATGGCAGTGACCAATCAACGGGCTGGGTTATGGCCCTTGACCTCTGACCTCTGTATCTGTTTTTGACCTTCCTGTGACCCTGTAACCTTTCAACCTAGTCCGACCTCTCTGTCTTGTTCTGTTGATGTTGTTATGCTTACTGTTCTCTCTAAGAGTGTATATCACACCTGTTAGTGTACCTACTGACATAAACACACACAGATTAAGTCATACACACATACCTTGGATTGAATCCTCAATCGCACCACAAATACAAATAACAAATACACAATCAGTACATTTTCATATGTAGAATTCATCTGATCGGTATTTGACCTTCAAGAAAAATATATTTGAACCAAGTCAGTCCTAACCCTGCTAAATGCAGAACTCCTACTCAATGTGTGTTAGTGTTAGTCAATGTTTTTGGTGTTGTGGTGACTTGTGTCATAGTGTTTTTGGCTTCTATCTTTCTGTCTGCACTGAGCTCTTTTCATTTTTTTTGTAGTTGGTCTCTTTGTCTGTCAATCTAAGTCATGGCCAGACTATATCCCGGCCACAGAGCCTGGATTGGATGTTATGTGGCCAATGATAGACATATACAGTGGTAGTAAGTTATTGCAAGTCCCATTTTGAAGTGTATTCTTATGCTAGTTTTGTGTCAACACAGGTGTGTGTGGTATCCTGTGGGACATTACGACTGTACAATAACAACTCACTCTCAAGACAATACCCAACCACTCACTGTGACCAGATAGATGGGGGGGGGGGGGGGGGGGGGGGGGGGGGGGGGGGGGGAGAGAGAAAGAGAGAGAAAGAGAGACTGAGAGAGAGAAAGGAGAGAAAGAGAGAGAGAGGGAGAGAGAGAGAGAGAGAGAGAGGAGAGAGAGAGAGAGAGAGAGAGAGGAGAGAGAGAGAGAGAGACAGGAAGTGAGAGAGAGAGAGAGAGAGAGAGAGACCTTGTCACTGAGCACACAGGAATGAAGCCATGAGAGATGACAATAGCCTAATCAATGTGAAGACTTACTGACAAGAAAACACAAAATCCCTTATTTCACAGTTATCTATTACTTTGCAGTCAACTATAATTTTATACAATATCAAGATTGATGATCAGCAAAGCACAGGGAAGACTTACAGACAGATAGAAGACAGAAACACATCAGTGTGTATTGAAATGTTGTACAAATGATATTTAACAAACTTTCCAGAGAAAGTAATGATGTTTGATATGTCTTTGAATAAAATAAAGCTTTCCATCCATGTCTGTACACCACAGGCAACAAATGAAGTGTTCTCAAGTGAAGAGTGTATATTGCTATTCACATATCTACATCCCAAGTACAAATTATGATACATTTACACCCACATCCTCATAGGAAATTAGTCACAAATGGAACATTTGAGGATGTGTGTTTTAGTTTCATACTTTACCAACATTACATGCATCCTTCTTCCACCTCTCCACTTCCTCCCTCTCTCCCATACCCCTCTACCTCTCACACATGGCTCCTCTTGTTCTTCCCTCAGTTCCTTGTCACTTGAGTCTACAATCTCAGTCTTTAGCCATAGAGTCATAGAGCTTGTTCCACATTGCTTCCGACAGTGCTGGCGACTGACTGATTTACAAATCACCTTGCATCATAAATAACTACTCATTATTATCTGTAGATCAGTCAGTCAGTCACCATTTACCCACAATGCATCATGGATTTAACGCTCTCGAACACGGCCACAGTGTGGGATGTAACATAAGGCCAGATATAGGGGTCAAAACACCTTGGCTAGTGTAGATAGACCTAGATAGAGCTCAATCTAAGGATGAGGGTTTGGATGTAGTCATAGGGCTATCAGCCACCTTGTCTCCACACAGTCTCAAAGGGGCATCACACACTGTCCATAGCCTCCACTTTGGCACTACCAAATGATCTAGGGTCAGATCATCCCATTCCTCATCTTAACCATTGGGAAGGATGGCAAAATATGTGACCCTGGATCAGTGGTTATGGGATACTTACACCCTCTCCTCGGCCAAGGGCTGCAGGTTCCTCCTACTCCCTCTCCTCGGCCCAGGGCTGCAGGTTCTGCAGGGCATACAGGGAGGAGTTATGTGAGCACAGTGGGTCAAAGCCTGCTGATTCGTTGAGGGACTTGTGGAGGGCGTCGGCCTGCAGCTGTAGGATCAGCCGATTGGCTTGTTGACGCTCAGCCTCCCTCTCCTCTGCTGTCTGTCTCCTAAAACAGAGAAAGAGAGAGATTAGGCGTACTTGCTTACAATCTAATTATGAACATAGAATACTTCTAATATGTTGAAATTCAACAATGGTCAAACTTAAGTAGCCTAGTGGACATTTATATACCATCTCAACTTTCCTTAGGCATCTGGGCCTACAGCTTCATTTTTTGGAAGGCACTGTATAGTTGCAGATGATTTTATAAACTATAGGCCTAGGCCAAACAGACTTGGGCTAATCTTACCGTCGTGTTTTCTCCTGACTGATCTATTTTCCTTATCCAGGCATGCAATGAGACGTGATTCTGGTCCAATCGTTTTTTTGGCAGAAATATTAGGGCTCTACCAGCTGTTCACTTCGATTGAATGTTCGCTACGTTGCATAATGGTTTGTACTGAATGACATGTTTCCCCAAAACTTTCTTCAATGTTCTTGAGCAGACTTTGAGGTACGTTTGCTCCGTTTGGTGGGTGCGGCAGGGTGTGACTTGAAGCAATGAGTGATGTATTTAAAGAGCAGCCGCCATGCTGACAGATTGCCTGGCTACCCAGACTCCTTACTCCGGCCAAATGGTACGCCACGCTTACGGACGTTAGTTTATTCCCCATAATGAGTCTGGATCAAATTTTTACTCCTGAACTTATTTAGGCTTGCCATAAAAAAGGGGTTGAATATTTATTGACTTAAGACCTATAGCTTAAAATCATCAGCAATTATACAGTGCCTACAGAAAGTATTCACACCCCTTGACTTTTTCCTAATTTTGTTGTGTTACAGCCTGAATTTAAAATGGATTAAATTGAGTTTTTTTGTCACTGGCCTACACACAATTCCCAATAATGTCAAAGTGGAATTATGTTTTTTTAAATGTTTACAAATTAATAAAAAATTCAAAGCTGATATGTCTTGAGTCAATAAGTATTCAACCCCTTTGTTATGGCAATTCTAAATAAGTTCAGGAGCAAAAAATGTCCTTAACAATTCACATAAAAAGTTGCATGGAATAGTGTTTAATATGATTTTTGAATTACTACCTCGTCTCTGTACCCCACACATACAATTATCTGTAAGGTCCCTCAGTCAAGCAGTTAATTTCAAACACAGATTCAACCACAAAGACCAGGGAGGTTTTCCAATGCCTCGCAAAAGTAGGGCAACTATTGGTAGATAGATAAAAAAAAGAAACCGGAGACGTTAAATATCCCTTTGAGCATGGTGAAGTCATTAATGACACTTTGGATGGTGTGTCAATACACCCAGTCACTACAAAAATACAGGTGTCCTTCCTAACTCAGTTGCCGGAGAGGAAGGAAACGACTCAGGGATTTTCACCATGGGGCCAATGGTGACAGTTACATAGTTTAATGGCTGTGATAGGAGTAAACTGAGGATGGATCAACAACAGTGTAGTTACTCCACAGAACTAACCTAATTGACAGAGTAAAAATAAGGAAGCCTGTACAAAATACAAATATTCCAAAACATGCATCCTGTTTGCAATAAAGCACTAAAGTAAAACTGCAAAAAATATGGCAAAGAAATTAACTTTATGTCTTGAATACAATTCGTTACGTTTGGAGCAAATCCAACACCACACACACTCTTCATATTTTCAAGCATGGTGGTGACTGCATCATGTTATGGTATGCTTGTCATCAGCAAGGACTAGGGAGGTTTTATGATAAAAGGAAACGGAATAGAGCTAAGCACAGACAAAATCCAAGAGGAAAACCTGGTTCAGTCTGCTTTCCAACAGACACTGGGAGACAAATTCACCTTTCAGCAGGACAATAACCTAAAACACAAGGCCAAATATACACTGGAGTCACTTACCAAGATGACATTGAATGTTCCTGAGTGGCCTAGTTACAGTTTTGACTTAAATTGGCTTGAAAATCTATGGAAAATATTGAAAATGGCTGTCTAGCAATGATCAACAACCAACTTGACAGAGCTTGAAGAATTAAAAAAATTATAATGTGCAAATACTGTACAATCCAGGTGTGCAAAGCTCTTAGAGACTTACCCAGTAAGGCTCACAGCTGTAATCGCTGCCAAAGGTGATTGTAACATGGGGGTTGAATACTTATCTAATCAAGATATATTCGTATTTTATTTTTCCATATCATTTTTTTGCAAATGTTAGAATGTTTCTTCCACTTTGTCACGGTTTCGGCCGAGGCTGCTCCTCCTCCTTGTTCGGGCATGTTTCGGCGGTCGTCGTCCCCGGAGTACTAGCTGCCACCGATCTATGTTTCATGTTCGTTTGGTTTTGTCTTGATGTTGTACACCTGTGTCTAGTTAGTCCTCATTAGTGTCCTATTTAGTTCTCGTTGTGTGTGTATGGTGTTGTGTGTGATTGCTCTTCTGTTTGGTGTTCTGAGCTACGTATCTTCCCTCCGTTGTTTGGAGAGGTTTTCGCACATGTTAGTGCGCCTTTTGTTTGACGCCTGTGTGCGCCTTTATTTCGCCTCCGGGCTTATAGTTCTCGTGTACTATGTGTATAATTCACTAAAGTCTTTTGGACTTAGCTTCTGCGTCCTGCGCTTGATTCCTGCACCACACCCACCTTCAGCACCCCTGACACACTTTCACATTACAGAGTATTTTGTGTAGATCATTGACAAAAAAATGACAATTGAATCCATTTTAACCCCACTTTGTAACACAACAAAATGTGGGAAAAGTAAAGGGGTGTGAATCCTTTCTGAAGGCACTGCAAAAATTCTAAAAAATCCTATGTGTAGCACCTTTCACTGAAAATATTTAGTCTCAACTTAGGCCTATAGGTCAAAACTAACCTCGTCCCCAGACTAATTGCGAATGAACGGAAGTGTCTGTCTGGTGACTGGTGAACGAGATTAGGTGAAAACACCTCCGATGAATACTTAAAGTAACAGTGTTTCCCAATTTCTATGAAATATTACCTATAATTAATTACAATATGACTGAAATAGTTTTCCCCCCAAAAAAGTATCATTAAGTATATGGTAAAGGTGCTACAGATTTTCTTTCAAATGTTTGCATTGTACACTGAACTAAAAATATAAAGGCAATATGCAACAATTTCAACGATTTTACTGAGTTACAGTTCATATAAGGAAATCAGTCAATTGAAATAAATGTATTAGGCCCTAATCTATGAATTTCACATGACTGGGAATACAGATATGCATCTGTTGGTCACAGATACCTTTAAAAAAAGTAGGGGCGTGGATCAGAAAACCAGTCAGTATCTGGTGTGACCACCATTTGCCTCATGCGCGTGACACATCTCCTTAGCATAGAGTTGATCAGGCTGTTGATTGTGGCCTGTGGAATGTTGTCCCACTCCTCTTCAATGGCTGTGCAAAGTTGCTGGATATTGGTGGGAACTGGAATGCGCTGTCGTACATGTCGATCCAGAGCATCCCAAACATGCTCAATGGGTGACATGTCTGGTGAGTATGCAGGCCATGGAAGAACTGGGACATTTTCAGCTTCCAGGAATTGTGTACAGATCCTTGCGAAATGGGGCAGTGCATCATCATGCTGAAACATTAGGTAATGGTGGCGGATGAATGGCACGACAATAGGCCATAGGATCTCGTCACGATATCTCTGCATTAAAATTGCCATTGATAAAATGCAATTGTGTTCGTTGTCCGTAGCTTATGCCTGCCTGCCCATACCCTAACCCCAGTGCCACCATGGGTTACTCTGTTCATAACATTGGCATCAGCAAACCGCTCGCCCACACAACGCCATACACGCTGTTTGCCATCTACGTGGTATAGTTAAAACCAGGATTAATTCGTGAAGAGCACACTTCTCCAGCGTGCCAGTGGCCATAAAAGGTGAGCATTTGCCCACTGAAGTCGTTTACGACACCGAACTACAGTCAGGTCAAGGCCCTGGTGAGGACAACGAGTACGCAGATGAGCTTCCCCGAGACAATTTCTGACCGTTTTTGCAGAAATTCTTTGGTTGTGCAAACCCACAGTTTCATCAGCTGTCCAGGTGGGTGGTCTCAGACAATCCCGCAGGTGAAGAAGCCAGATGTGGAGGTCCTGGGCTGGCGTGCTTACACGTGTTCTGCGGTTGTGAAGCCAGTTGGACGTACTGCCAAATTCTCTAAACCTGCTTTGGTAGAGTAATGAATATTCAATTCTCTGGCAACAGTACTGGTGGACATTCCTGCGGTCAGCATGCCAATTGCACGCTCCCTCAAAACTTGTGTGACAGAACTGCACATTTTAGAGTGGCCTTTTATTGTCCCCAGCACAAGCTGCTCTTGTGTAATGATCATGCTGTTTAATCAGCTTCTCGATATGCCACACCTGTCAGGTGGATGGATTATCTTGGCAAAGGAGAAATGCTCACTAACAAGGATGTAAACAAATTTGTGCATATGGAAGATATCTGGGATCTTTTATTTAAGCTCATGAGACCAACACTTTACATGTTGCATTTATATATTTGTTCAGTATAATTTCAGAAAATGTTAATGATATTTCTGGCGCTAATAGTGGAATGATAATGTCCGTAGCTTATGCTATCCCGAGTGGCGCAGTGGTCTAAGGCACTGCATCGCAGTGCTAGCTGTGCCACTAGAGATTCTGGTTCAAATCCAGGCTCTGTCGTAGCCGGCTGCGACTGGGAGACCCATGGGGCGGCGCACAATTGGCCCAGGGTAGGGGAGGGAATGGCCGGCAGGGATGTAGCTCAGTTGGTAGAGCATGGCGTTTGCAACGCCAGGGTTGTGGGTTTGATTCCCACGGGGGGCCAGTATGAAAAATAAAACTGTAAGTCGCTCTGGATAAGAGTGTCTGCTAAATGACTCAAATATAAATGTAATAATGACTATGAAACACTTTCATTTCACTATTACTGCAGATATATTATGGACATTTTCTGAAATTATAATGCAAAAATGCAACAACAACAAAAATCTTATGTGTAGCACTTTTTAAAAGCAGCTGCTTTTCTGTATTGGAATGCTGTGGGCATACCCCAACAACAGAATGGTGTGGGCATATACCATCATTAAAAATATTCATGCGAGTAGACTGCTGATTGGCCAGCTCATTTTCCTCAGGAGGATGACATCATCCAGTGAAATGTTCAATGGTAATTTACTTTAAGGTATGACTAAACAGGTAAACTGTAAAATGGATAAACTGACCTCCACTTGGTCCTACGGTTCTGGAACCAGGTCTTGACCTGCGCGTCCGTCATCTTCAGGCTCTTGGCGAGGGTGGCCCGCTCCGCGCTCGCGAGGTACTTCTGCCGGTGGAAGCGCTTCTCCAACTCACAAATCTGCACACGGGAGAAGGATGTCCGAGGCTTTTTTCGTTTGGGCGGTGTGCGATTCTGGTATGGATGACCTATCCGCCGGGTCACCGTGAATGGCACGAGAGCTGAAGGAGGGAGCAGAACAACAGACTGGAGGATGAGTTTACACCGTGGACGAATGAGGTGTGTTTTGTCCTCTGTGGTAAGAAAGACTCCAACTGTGTTGTTGTACAGTTCATAAGGTCTGCCATATAGGCTAATCCTCAGCAGAAAACAAAGGTTATATTCATTGTTGGATAAAGAAAGTATCCTAGTTAGAAAATAATAATAGTTTTATTGGTTGATTTGGCGCCTGCACAAAACCGGGCAGTTCTGTTTGGGCCTACGTCGTCTCATCCACCTGCAATTTGTGAATCTTCCCTTTTAACCTTATTTTATTCGTTTATTTTTATGGGGATAAAGCCATCATTTCTGGCTGGATATTCATGTTAGGCTTCCTCTTGGGTGAGCAAACAATGACATGAAATAGTAAATACAGGGAGTCAATAATGTTGGGTTCGGCTCTGGGTGCCAAATTAGGCAATTACAAATTGAATAGGCCTACATTTGAAATCAATAGTATTATTTCCTAACATTTACATTTTTTTTTACATTTTTGTCATTTAGCAGACGCTCTTATCCAGAGCGACTTATCCAGTCGCTATTTTTTCATACTGCCCCCCCGTGGGAATCGAACCCACAACCCTGGCGTTGCAAACGCCGTGCTCTACCAACATTCACACTATGGGTGACCACTCACGCGACAATGTTTTCATATGTCTTTGTCATATTGTATAAACTGTTGGGTGTGAAACAAAATCATTGTGGGGAAAAAATGAGTCCGAACATCATTGCTACATTAATCAAATTGCATTGTAAAATCAACCAGAATAGCCTAAAACGTTCTTTCTTCATACCTCCATTTATATTAACTTCCAGTTTAGGGTCTTCTAGCGTCAAAGACGTGATAAATTATTATTTTTAGATTTAACTCATGCACGTTGTTGTTATTGGCCTTAATATTTTTGTAAATATATTTTAAATATATTTTATTTTTATAGGCCTATTCAATATTTCTATGTGATTTTCGTTGCTATAAGTATTAATTGACTTTATCATGCACACGCCTTGTAACATTAAAATATGCTACATATTTAAGAGAAATATGGAAATAGGCTACAATTTCAGTAGAATTGCATAAGTGGGTCAAGCCTACATCTTCTTACGTTTTAATGCGTAAAAGGTTGAAGATTGAATTAATGATTTTATCAAAATGCCTTATTTTACTGCTGCTCTTTCATTATTATTTATTTTTATTTTTTGTTATCAATTTTTTACTTAACACTTATTTTTCTTAAAACTGCACTGTTGGTTAAGTAAGCATTTCACTGTATTCGGCGCGTGTGACAAATACAATTTGATTTGATTTGATCACATCATCTTTATTCTTGTTGTTTTTATTGCCGTATTGTTATCGTTATTATTAGTCTTTTCACTTTAAAAAAAAGCTTATTACACGTTTTTTGTAAGCTAAAATGTTTTGAACACATTCAATGTAACATTTCCCATTGCGGGAAACCGGGAACGTTTTGGAGACCTTCAAATGGATAGTTTAAATCACTACGCATGAAATGGTGTGTAAATATATATTTAAATATAAACAGAATAAACATTATTTGGTGGGCTATAGGCTAAGGGTTCTATCGGAAAGTTACCTGATAACCTGTCCTTGGCGAACCTATTCCCGACCCACGGGAAACACAGGCCTCCATACCCGGGAACAGCGCTCCCCACATGCGGCGGCCCTGCGACCATCAACGGTCTGTGAGAGGGTACCCGGATCACTCCTCTGCTGCCCAGGCTGTGGTTCACTCCGTACAAACCAGGATCCTCTAACTGTGGTACAATACCAGAGAGGGAGATGGACAGCGCGGTGTAGGACGCTGCACTCCCTCCGTTTGGGCTCCCCAAAAGGTAACCGTCTCCGTTGCTTGTATCCGAACCGTGTCTGCTGCTGGTCCGGCCGCTCTCTGAGTCAGCACCGCTACTGAGTATCTGGTCGATGCCGAAGCTAATGGGTTCGTGCTGGACCGCTTTGGGAGGAGGGCTTGGGGCGCTGGGTGCACGTTCCATCCCCACCGTTTATTCAGACCGTGGGATGGCTGGACAGGATGGAAATTAAATTACGAGGTTTAACAGCGGGTTTGTGCCAAAGAGAAGCTGCGGTTGCCTCCATTGTCATCCTGCATTCATCTGCAACTTCGGAAAGGCCTCCTTCAGATCATCCTCGCGCGCGCCAGTGAAAGTTTGCTGTGCTTTTGAAGAGGTCTGTGACGCACTCCTCCCGCGTCAAAACATGTTGGTCTTGGTGCCCCCCCCCCACCACATCCCTGTGTCTCTATTGGTTGGTGCTGTCAACCCATTGACTGTTCATTGGCTGTTATTTTAATAACTGATTGGGGGGGGGGGGGGGGGGGGGGGGGGGGGGTGCACCATAACCTAGACTCCTTCCTAGCATTCAGATAGAGTTGATATCATTTAGTGCTATATCAGAGCATCGATTTCTAAACCTTTTCATTTGACCTGTTTGGACAATTCACTTGACCTAGTGGGCTTGCAGGCTTTGAAAAAGTCCCTGTTTTCTAAACTGCATTTTGTAGCCTGAAAATACAGTAGGCTGTAAGAAAATATTTCCATTGAACTGAAATAGCAGATACGAGTTGCAACGATTACATATTTCTTATTTCCTATTGCCTTTTCCTATTTCTATACAGTTTTGTCGGTGATAATCTCTAGCTCTTGTCTCTCTATTGTTTTGCCTCTGGCTCTTCTCTGTGATATGTCCAGCCCGAAATACACACGTTGGAGGCTGTGCGACTCTCACCGAACCAGTATGGAGTAGTGGAGATGAATGCAGGCAGTTCAGTCGTTTTATTGATTTTCTACGAGGAACAGGAGAGGACCTGTATTAACACAAGCGTCTATTCGTCATGGATTGAAGTGGGCCTTGGTTAAGGCCATTGATGAGAGGTATAGAGGAAGCGAGGCATCACTTCTCCGTTTTGATTACGGCATCTGTCAACAGCTACTAGCAGATTACTCCTCCTCTGTGTAAGATATTCATTTGAAGTAAACCAATGGGTTGTATCCGAACCGTGTCTGCTGCTGGTAATCACAATGCTTTAAGTCCTTACAAGGCCTAAACTAAATTACAATGGTGCACGGTACAACCCGACTGTGGCACATTCATTGATAATAAAAGGGAATTGTCTGACGAGGCACATTAATTGATAATCAAAGGGAAATTGTCTGATGAGGCCACGGGCTATACAGAGGAAGTGGAGGGTCTGCATGGTCGCTGGAACCTCCTGCCCATCAGACGCAATGAAAAGACGAACACAATTAACTGTTTATGGACTCCTGGCTAGAGCTTTGCAGAGATGGGTTCCTGTCCTCCTCTCTTTAGACCTGATATAGGCCTATAGTCTTTATCCTATTTAACATTAACATTTTATTTTTGACAAAAGCAAAGATTCTTAACACAGGTCAAAAAAAAATTCACTGTTAGCCTGTAATTGAACCCTATATTTTGGGTTGCAATTTTGTCATAGGTTTTAATTTTGACTGGCATAGATAACTGTAACTGTATAGCATTACAGTTAAAATGAATACGACTATTTTAATGATTCATTTGATGAGGCGATATAAGATAGGTACCTCCCACAAGCAAAGTTATAACCTCGATCGAATTTGTTGCATGAATAAATGTTCATAACGGAGGTTCTCTTGTTGTTTTTTTTGTCCCATCAATATTTCACTATTTTTATTATTTTTGTGCGTTAAGGTTTTCAGATTCATCCTGGGGAAATTCCTCTATGAATAATAATTATCTCGTAGTAATACTTTTGAAGTAGTTTAAAATAAATGTGTTGTACATAAACGAACAAACGAGGTAGGCATATCAAGAGACATAACCATAACTTGAGGTGGTTGTTCAGCAATATGGACTGGCAGAATTGGCTATAGTTTCCCCGCCATATGTGAGCACACCGGTGGCCTATTTTGATGAGGGAGAAATTGACTGTTATAGCTGCCATTTCCCATACATATTTTCGTATTTACTGCTCAGTTATCAGGCTATTTTATATTAAAATTATAATGACTATTTCTTGTGTATCTCTATGTTGTTAATCGTTTTATTCTATAAAATTATATGTTTGATGTATTTACATTTTTTCGATTGCATGCATTTGATTTAGCCTAATATGACCATCTGCAGTCCTACACACAGGGCAAAAACTGATCTAATCAACGTTGTTTCCAGGTCATTTAAATCAAAAAATTAAATGTGATGACGTTCAATCAACGTGGAAAACTGCTTGGATTTGAAAAAAGTCATCAACGTAGGGGAACTTCGTCTTTTTTTCACCCAATTTTGCATCTAAATCCAATAACATGGTGACATGTTTTGTTGATTTCACGTTGGATTCACGTTAGTTGACAACTCAACCAAATCTAAATAAAAAATAGATGTTGAACTGACATATGTGCCCAGTGGGCATATTGTGCACTGTGGATTTAGGAACGCGGCGGAAACCGTGTCATAGCTCCACTGGAAATGGAATGAGCGGACAGGGACAGGGGAGCGTTGGTCCAGGGGTCGTTGGTGTAAATGAGCCAGTGTAATCCTCAGATTATCCGAGATTATGTTACATTTGCCCGGATGCAGCATACCCCGAGAACACGGCCAGAACACAATGAAGCCACTAAATGCGGAGAAAGCTAGGCCTACTGCATGGATGATAAAATCATGATAATAACTATAGGTCTATAAAATAATAGGCCTAAAAGCTTAATTCATTTTTTTTTTAAATACTAGAAATACTAGAAATAGACTAATAAATAAATAGGCTACTGGATACATAACATATAACTTTATAAAAAACAGACGAGCGTGCATGACATTGACATATATCCGCTTACATTTTAACAAAAAATGTTAAACCCTTTTAACAACAACTAGATAATAGTAATTACATAAAAAATAATGGATGCCAATACTATAGTAGGCTAAAGTAATTGTAACAGTTATAATTATTAGGCAAGTAGGCTAATATAGCAATAGGCCAATGACATTTCAATCGAAACCGTTTTGGTAATGACACTTGACTTTGGAGAGCTATCTTCTTAAATTACCCTCCGTGAGCAATTAGGACAAGGTCAATTCTCTTGCGCACTGCAAAGACAATATATTCAGCTAGCATTCTGGTTCTCTGGAGAGAGAGGCCTAAAGTCCAAAGAAAAGGGAACAAAGACTGAAAGCGCGCAATTTATTTGAGAAATTAACCTGCCTCTTGATCTGCATAATCGAGGTTCCGGCTCGTGGCACCTGCGGGCTCCGTTTTTATTGCACGTGTCTCCACTCTCTCTTTTTAAAGGAACGGGACTGGCTGCTTTTGAATAATGAATTACACGTTTTTCTATTGTCGCTAAAGTGCCCGTGATGTTAGAATATGAAAATGCAGCGGTAAGTAATAGTACATTTAAAGAGGATCTACTCATGTTTTATTATGATATGTAGGGAAAGAGATGGAGACGGGGAGAGGGAGAAAGGGGGGGGGATCTGTTTTATTGCAATAAAAGCGACAGTACTAGAGGAAGAGATTGCCTCGCAGGCAAATGGAGTTGTTAATGAAACTTTACCGCTCATAACGATTATTTTCCTGCCGTCCTCATTAAATATTTAAAGTACTTAATATACGTATTAAGCTCCAAGACATTGGTACTGGCCATTGGGCAACAGGCAGCTATAGCAATCAATAACATTTGTGTCATACGACATTTATAGGAGGTATTTCACATTAGCCTACAATGCTTGGCAGAATATATCTCTATTGACAATGAAAGAGAGAGAGAATGTCTTCTCTTTTCCGTGCTAAATGTATGGTGTTCCCAGCGTGAGAGTTGTGTTGCATGTTGACATGCTCAGTGGGATGGTTCTAGATCGGATAGGGGAACGGGATCTCCTTTGGGGGCTAGGATAACCCTGCCTGTGTTAGAGTATGAGGCAGGACTATGGAGTGGAAGGCCTTTTTGTGTACAGGACTATGGGGTGGAAGGGCTATGCCCCTGTGGGTACAGGGCAATGCACATAGTCTTTACTAGGGTTCTCTTTGTTAAAATAGTTTTGGAAGACAAAGCCAATCACAGCAATGTTTTGTTTTATTTGGATATATTTTGAGCATTTATTTGGATATATTTGTTGAGTATTGCGTTCTTGGCTTGTAAAAACAAAGCATGTGTGTCTGTCTTTCTGTCTATTTGTCTGTCTGTCTGTCTGTCTGTCTGTCTGTCTGTCTGTCTGTCTGTCTGTCTGTCTGTCTGTCTGTCTGTCTGTCTGTCTTACTGAGATTTACTGTCAGGGCCCAGGTCTGACAGAATCTGTGCAGAAGATCTAGGTGCTGCTGCAGGCCCTCCTTAGTTGGGGACAGAAGCACCAGATCATCAGTAAACAGTAGACATTTGACTTGAGATTTTAGTAGGGTGAGAATCCCTCCCTCTCGCTCTTTCCCCTTTCATCTCTCCTTCCCACCCTCCCTACTTACACCCAGCTTTGAGCATTTTATCCCTCGTTCCCTCCCTCCACACAGCTCTAAGCATCAACCTCACCTTCCTTCCTTCCTTCTATCCCTCCCTCAAGCTCTACCCTCCCCCAGAATCAGAAACATTCCCTTTAATTCAGATATATTTTTTTACCATTCCTCCCCCTTATCGAACGGTTTGTCCTGTGTCTGAACTAGTTTTTCTGTCTCTGTCTCTGTCTCTGTCTCTGTCTCTCTCTCTCTCTCTCTCTCTCTCTCTCTCTCTCTCTCTCTCTCTCTCTCTCTCTCTCTCTCTCTCTCTCAATTCAATTTCAATTCAATGTAAGGGTTTTATTGGCATAGGAAACATATTTTAACATTGCCAAAGCTAGTGAAGTAGATAGTAAACAAAAGTGAAATATTTACAATGGTGTTTGTTCTTCACTGGTTGCCCTTTTCTTGTGGCAATAGGTCACAAATCCTGCTGCTGTGATGGCACACTGTAGTATTTCACCCAGTAGATATGGGAGTTTATCAAAATTGGGTTTAGTTTTGAATTCTTTGTGGATCTGTGTAATCTGAGGGAAATATGAATCTCTAATATGGTTATACATTTGGCAGGAGGTTAGGAAGAGCAGCTCAGTTTCCACCTCATTTTGTGGGCAGTGTGCACATAGCCTGTCTTCTCTTGAGAGCCAG